TGATTAAAATATTGGGATTTTTTCCCCTTTCCATCCCACTCATCACTCTAAATGATCCTCATTCCATTTCCTTTATCTTTTCCCCCATCCTCTAAAAAGCCATCTGCTATTTCCTTTATGAAAAAAATAAAACCTACAATTAGTGTCTTGTTCATCTTTTCTTTCTCAAAAAAAAAAAAGAGAACTATTATGCAAATACTCTACAATTTGGTTTCATATACTCTTTGTAGTGTGATGAGCAATTTTCCTTAATACAAACCCAGCTTTTTTGCCAGGACTTACTAATAGATTTTTTTTTTTTAAGGGAACTTTCACTTTTCACATGAAAAGTCCTCTAATGTAAACTTCTCAAATGCATATTTAGAATGGAATTACCATTGCTCTTTGAATTGTAGGAGGAAAAAATAATCATTTTATATATTTAATTCTAAAAGCAAAGGCAAAAATAACCTCAACATTTTTCTTCTACCTTAAATGTCATTGTTTTCTTTACATCAGGAAATGGCCTATACCAAATATAACTTTCAGCAAATCAGAAAAAAATGTTTATTACTTTTTTTTTTGGAATTATGTGTAATTGATGGCAGTTTATCTGTTAGCACACATTCATTGTTTGATTTTAGCTGCTCATCAGGGACTAAAGCACATTTTGACCTAATTCATTCTGGGTATGGCCAATTCTAAGTGTATGAAGCCGCCTTGTTAACAGTGTAAGGTGCTGACAGAACTGAAGTAAAAATGACAATACTTTACCCTTGAAGTAATGCAGAGCTAACACTCAGAAATTCTAAGTTTTAAAACTGATTTGCTACCTACTAGTGATCTAACCAGGAATCCCATTGATCCTGTTGCCTCATTTTGCAACTGAGAGTGTCCACCTCTTTCAATTGCTTCCCAGGTTTATACTAAGGATCAAATAACTGCTGTATTTCCCTGCTTTTGCCATGGATTGTGGAGACACACAGGAGATTGAGATGTACCAGAGGTTCTCAAAGTTTCATGCTCCCTACACTAGCTTTAGCTGGGGAGTTTACTGTAAAAGCAGATTCCCAAATTCTATGTCTAAATCTGATTACCTGGGTATGGCGTCAGGAAAGCTACGCGAGTAATGATAAACCTAGATGATTCTTATATGAATGAAAAACTGAGGGCCATAAGAGACAGAATATAGTCAGTATGAGTTTAATTTGATCAGATACCTAACATTTAGTATCTAACTATCTAGTATATAATTAATTATGATACTTAACCCAATTAGATGTTTTGTTCATTTTTTTGTATGTGTATGTTTTATATGTGGGCATATTAAAATTCAGTGAAGGAACTCTCTAGTTACACTAAGAGTACAAGCAGCTATTATTAGAGTAATTATTTAATTTGGCTAGCATTCATATCCATACTCATAACATGCACATATATACTTGTATCTGTACTCTATAACTGTACTGCTTTGCTTTATTTCAAATATTTAATGAAATATACAGTGAGTGAGACCAAAATCTTTGCAACCTAGTGGATGCAGATAGTCCACATGAATTCTGTGACTATTCTGGTTCCCTGGGGCAGCTAAGGAAGGGGAAACTGAAAGACTTTTCTACTTGGAAAACAGTGATTTCAACTTCTGCCACAAAGGATCAGAAACAAAAAGTCCTTTGAGACTGGGTGATACCACCTTATCAGCTTATTTCTTCTGTTTGGCCTGGGTCACTCCTTCCTCTGAGCATGTTCTTATGCTGCCCCTTTCTTCTTTTCTCAAAAAGTCAACTGTTAGACCTCACATGAAACCTTGGCTAGATCCAGGAAATCCACACACTTCTTGAGACACACCCCATAGCTGTGAATTACCTTTAGACACAGCTGAGCTCAACACCACTAAAATAGTAGCAGAGGTTAGAAGTGGCAATGTCCTCCCAAATCATTTTAAGATGACAATTTTCAAGTCCATTACTTTTACATGGGTAATGATGGAAAAACTTGTGCTCTGCCTACTGTCCTCTTCCTTTCCTACCCCCATTTTCTATGACCCAAAGCAAACACTGTCTACTTGCATGATATTTTTTTTCTGTTACTTTCTTCCATATGTCTAAATATGTTTAGACTCTCAACTCTTAATTTTCAGGTTTATACATTATTTAACAGTTTCTCACTGTCAACACAGGAATGTGCTTTTCATCCCCTTCCTATCACCTCCTTGCAAAAGTATGCTTCCCTTTTTTCAAGTATAGTACTATGATTTCTACTTATATCAATATGCTGTGCTTGTATTATTATGATTATTTCACTATTTCAGCTATGCTGTGTGGTGAATGTGTTTTCTGGAGCATACATTTGTCTTTTCTTCAAATTCATTTCTTCTTTTTACTTAAGATTAGTTTTCTGAGTATCTATCACTAATTTGACCTTGAACACTGGTTAGAAAAAATAAATGCCCTCTTACTATATTTTCAACTCTTTATATATTCTATCAAACACAACTTTGTAGGTTGGATTTCCAGGGTATTATATCCTGTCGCAGTCTAGTTGGACTGCTATCTCAGTCTGCTCTACAGCATTTATTCAGTAATACTCCTTTACTATCATTCTTGATTTCTAAATCTCATGTTAAATCCTTGTTTACTCCATTTAGCAGACTCTTTTAAACCTCTCCCCACCATTGATGAGCACATTTAGCAGAGCAGTAAAAGCAGGGAAGGTAAATTTTTAAAGGTCTGGCATGTCTGGACATATCTATGATATCCACTCACTTGGTTGACATTTTGCTGAGAACAGAATTCTAGGTTTAAACAAAACTTTCAGAATTTTGAAGTAACAGATCCATTTAGGAGAAGGAACCCATGGGCGGTCTATATTTCCATCTTATATGAATTTACAGTCTGTTTTCCCCAGAATACTTGTCTTTCCGTTGTGTCTGACATCCACAGTCCACAATCCTTTCAGTTTAGAGCTTTCCAAAAGGTGGAGACAGAGCCCTGTAATTTAAGTGGTTCCTAAGTGTATTTTGAAGCAATTCTGATGAAATTGGTCCTTCTCTCATCATCAATAGAGATGTGTATGCTAATACACGGGAACCTTTGTTGGTGCCCACCACTGGATTGCATCTTAGTTTTCTCCTCCTGCTCAGTGAGGCTTCTGACTTCTTAAGTTTGCTACGTCAGTTGCCGTGAGTCAACCACTGTCTACTTTTATTGTTCTACTCTATTGTCTCCACTCTATTATTATGTTTTTATTAATTCCTTTATTCTCAATATAGTAAAATTGAGAGGCAATGGAAGCAATTCATGTATTAAACCTGCCAGGCCATCTTAAACAGAAACTCAACAGAGCACTCAGTCCTTATTTTTTTTTTTTTAAAAAAAAGCTACAGAACATGTTTAAGAATAACACAGAGAGGGGGCTGGGATGTGACTCAGTGATAGAGTGCTTGCCTAGCAGGTTCAAGCCCCCAGGTTCAATCCACAGCACTGAAAAAAAAAAAAAAAAAAAAGAATGATACAATGAACTTTCAGTACCTGCATATAGATAAACTGATGTCAAATTACCATGTATGTACAACCCCCTATGGGTATGTTTGTGAATGCTTACGGATTTGTATAACAAAAACACAAATCAATACATACACATATTCCAAATCTCTCTTTCTCTCCCTCTTTATTGCTCATTTTCTTTTTTTCCTTCTCTCAGAGGAAACCATTTAAAAGAAAATTGCAGACATAAAATACTTTGTTCATACTATTTCAGGATCTCCTAGAATCAAAGAAAATTCTTCCATATATCCATAATACTTTTATCATTCTTCAGAATTTAATACTGGCATAGTATTTACATAATAGATAGTACCTATTCACATATTTCCCCAATTTTCAGAATAATATTCTCTGTAGTATGCGTTTTTTCTTCTAATTCAGGAATCAATCAAAGACTTAGCATTGCCTTGTCTTTATAATGGATTTTAGCTTGAATATCCTTTTTGTATCTCTCATATGACATTTTTAATGAGTTCAGACCAGTTCCTTTCTAAAATATGGATTTGTTTATTTATTCCTTATTATTAGATTCAAATTAATATTATTGTCAAGAATATTATGTAGGTGAAATTATGTGGCCTTATATGAACAAAATTTCATTATTGTTTTCAAAAATTATTTTATTACTTAAAAGCACAGATCAAATCAAAGCAACGTGTATTAACATATCCCTTCTGGTAATATGTGTTTCAAATTATCCCCAAAATGCTTATAATAACTTTTGATTGGAGGCAAACTTTAGGATACTCTAAGTAACCATCATATGTCCACTTTTTATTTCCATTAACGAAAGTTGTCTTTTGGTTATGATCAACAAATTAGAACTTTTTCTCAATTCATGAAATAAGAAATTTGAGTATACAGATTTTTATAGTACCATGTAGCTCTCAAATTTTATGAATCTATGATTAAGAATCACTTGTAATTTTGAAAAGAAAATAAATTTCAGTAAAGATTATGGATCAAAATGTATTATTCAAATGTTTAATATTGTATATAAATTGGGTATTTTGTAATATATATGTTTACATATTTACTATTTGTACATTTTACCATCTTAAGGCTGACCAACTCTACACTAATAAAAGATGTCTTAAAATTGGGTTGTGTTTCTCTATCTGCAGATGGCTGCATTTGTATAGATTATTGTACCCTAGAATGAAGGTCAAGAATTAAAAACCCATGGCCTAAGTTGGGATTCACTTTAATGTACTTGGTAGTAATAAAATATTATTCATACTACAAAAGAGAACACATTGATATTAATTTTATAGATACTTATTCTATAACCACTTACATTTTACTGAGTATATAGGCTTTGTTTTTATTTAAATCACTTTAATACTAATTGCAATAATATCTTTTCATTTGTAATTGAGTATATTTTCAAAAACATTATCAGCATCATCAGAACAATGTAACCATAAGTGTTTGAAATTTTGAGTTGAAATAAAGGTATTTTTTTTCTTATTACAGGAAGCTCTGATCATGGCCAGCATGGACCATCCACACCTAGTCCGCCTATTGGGTGTGTGTCTAAGCCCAACCATCCAGCTGGTTACCCAGCTGATGCCCCACGGCTGCCTGCTGGAATACGTCCATGAACACAAGGATAACATTGGATCACAGCTGCTGCTGAACTGGTGTGTCCAGATAGCTAAGGTAAGTGCCGTCACTTCCTATGGAAATGACACTTCTCTGTTTATATCTCCTAATCTGGAATAGTTTGGATATTGAAAACATGTCAGGTCTTTCAAACCATTAAAACAAACCAAAATTTATTTTCCATATATTAAAGATGCATTATAAGGTGGTACCTGCATGCCAAACGCAGATGAGTCACATGATCTACTCACATGTTTGGATTATCATACTGTGTCATTTATGTTATATTGAGAGGCCAAAATAAAAAGCTTGCTAGTCAGAGGGAAAAATTACCGTACTGGATTTCTTTGATTTTTTGTTTGTTCTAGTATAGTTAACAAACAAAATTAAGAAAGAAAAGATTGGATGTTCAAGTTGTTCTATTTTAGCTGATTTTATTACAATATATGGTAGAATTGTCAATAACCATGAATGAAACAACGCTAAATATTTTCTTAACCCTTTGGGAAGTCTTCAGCTGGTCTTTAGTGGTTAACTTCACACAAGAGCTCAGGCATGTAGCGTACATAAGGGGAGTGAGCTTGATAATGGGGGAGGTAGCTCTGTGGTGAACCAGAGAATAACTACTGCCCTTGGGAAACCTATGATTTGGAGAACATTGCCAGTTATCAGATCTTATTTTTTAAGAGGGCCTATAGTTCCAGATTTGTACATGAATTCTTCAAATTTAAATGTTAGCTCTAACTTCAGAAGCACTCTAGGAACATGCAAAGCATTTACAACCATATTCCACAAAGGTATACACATTTTCTTATTAAAAAAAAAAATCTATGTATGATTTCTTGTACTAGAAACTTTCTTGAAGAAAATTATCTTTCCTAAAAAATAGGGAATGTGATAAATTTAAATTCACTATATTAACTCTTAATTTACTCAAAATATTTGATGTTTTATAGATTTTATAGACATATTACTCTTCATACTTATCAATGGCAAAATATTAATTTACTGGTCTTTCCCTATTTCTTTTTGTAATCTAAGAATGAATAAAAGTCCATTACCAAAAGCAGAAATTTGAGACAATTCTTACAAATGCAAACCTCAGAATTACTTGAGAGAAAAGCCTAGCTTAGTTTTATATACGGTAAGGTTCAATTTAGTTTCCTTAAGGACTATGTATTATAATTTTGTGTTTATTCTCAAATCATCCTAGTACTATAAATAAACACATAGCTAAGATTTAAATTTATTAGCTCTCTCTGTATTTCCTGCTGTGTTCTCCACAATTTAAGTTTTGTCTTTAGGAATCCATGGCATTAATATATCATTTATACATCACTATATACTCTAATGATAGAAACTACTTTTAGTGCCTGGAGTAACCACACAGTTTTATACTGTTTTTCTCTCTGCTTGAAGTTCTTTTCTTATATCTTCTTGATTCACACAGCATGGTCTTATTCATCCATCAACACTGATTGGTCTTCTTCTCTGCCAAGCCCTCCCTATTCAACATTTTCTCCAGAAAAATGTGATTACTTTCTCTTCTATATTAATGTTGATCATTGGCATTTTGAACACATTTCTGTTATTTAAATGCTTTACTATGTTTTTATAAATCTCTTTGATTTTTTTATGGAAAACTTGTTTAATCATTAATCCTTCAACAAATACTTGAAGGCACTTATATAATATTGTGCTGACTTACTAAAGGAGGAACATATAGGTAAATAACAGACTTGGGTCTGATTCTCTCTGCACATCCTAATAGGCTGAATATTCAAGATGAAGTATACAGTTATATACCATCTGGAAGAAAAATAATTATAGGGTAGACTTAAGAGAAGGCCCAATAAGTTTTGAGGTAGAAAACTGGCTATGGGAAGAATTACTTAGAGGGAAGATTACAGGGAACCCTACTTAAGGTAAGCAGGTAAGTTATAATCCAATGGGACAATTTTAGAAGTGAAAGGGGACTCTGTTACTAGTCACATCAGGACAACTGGCACAGAAAGATCCTAAATAGAATGGAATATGTGATTACCCTGTATGGCATAGAAAGTTTGGGTTTTACATTAAGTTCAGTAGGTAGTTATGAAATATTTTAACATGGAGTTGACAAAATTTATGGTCTAAAGAGATCATGCGCTTATATAGAGAGATTATTTGAAGTCAATAAAGAATGGAAATGAGGATTCCAATGCAGACTCTGGGAGCAATGCAAACAAAGACAAATAGATGGAATGAAGAGATATTTTTGTGTAAAAACCCAAGTTGAATGATTATTAATTACATGTGGTAGAGGACAAAGACGAGTACGGAGGGTGCCATTTCCTGAGATGGGGAAGGATGAGAGATGAATGTGTTTAGAGGATAATCAAGTGTTCAGTTATAGTCATAGCACATTAGAAAAAAAATTGCAGTACATGGATCTAGAAACATCAAATAATCAAAGTTGTTCAGATTTAGGAGTTACAGGTATTTAAATGTAAGGAAATATGAGGCTACCCCATGGCTAAGTCTGATTCTTAAATCTATTCTTAAATCTATTCCTAAAATTTGAGTCTTATATGTAGTATTCATTAAAGCAATACTTAACTCATACCTTAACTAATAAAAAACAAAAACTACCCTGAAGGAGAGTGTCCTTTCTTTATCTTTTTCCCTTGTTTAGGGATGGAGTTGTATAGTGGAAGCAGCATTAGGATCAGAAAGACATACCTTCATTATTATGTTGGTGCCTACTTTGCAGTTTTGTGAGTTTGATTGTCATCCAAACTCTCTGAATCCTTTTTTTCCATGTATGTAATATAGTTAATAAATTTTATATTTTCTAATCTTCAAAATCAACAGATCTGGGCTGGGGCTGTAGCTCAGTGCAGAGCACTTGCCTTGCCACATTATGTATAGTATTTGCATATAACCTGTAAATATTCTTCCATATTTATTAAGTCACTTCCAAATTACTTATAATACCTAATACAATGCAAATACTTTGTAAATCATAATTATACTGTGATGTCTAGAGAATAGCGATTAGAAAAAAATACTAGATATGTTATGATATGATATTTATATATATATATATATATATATATATATATATATATATATATATATATATATATTTTTTTTTTTTTTTCTCTCCCATTGGTTGAATTCTTGGATTCAGAACCCACAGGTATAGAGGTCTGATAGGCTGAATAACATCCTAATTCCAAAAAAGGCTTCATCCTGTTCCCAGAATTGGTAAATGTGTTACTTTTCATGTTAGAAGGGGCTTTGCAAATGTGATTAAATTGGAGTCTGCGGTTGAGGGGTATCCATGGAGTATTCACGTGGGCTCAGCATGAGAACAAGGGACCTATTAAGTGGGAGGAAGAAGGACTAGACTTAAAAAGAGAAGACAAAAAACACAGAAGCAGCGTTGGAGTGATATACCATGAAGATGGAATCAGGGGCCACAGACTGAGCAATGTAGTCTACCTCTGGACACTGGAAATGGAAAGGCATTCCTATAGTCTCCAGAAGGAACACAGGTCTGCCCAAACCCTGATTTTAGTGTGGTTAAACTGATTTCTGGCCTCTAACCTCCTGAGCAGTAAGAGAATAAATATACATTGTTTTAAGCCACTAAATTTGTGGTTATTAGTTAAAGCAATAAAAAAATGAATATACTTCTTTATTATGATTTGGAGATTAAATAAAATAACCCATGTACATTTCCTTGCTCAGCTTCTAGAATATGAAATGTTGAAATACAGTCTCATTATCAGCTGTGGGTTGGAAGCCATAAAACAGAAAATTGTTTCATAAATGTCTGTGAAATATAGGTAATATTGTCTGAGTGAAGACAAATATTTTACAAATACCTAGTTCAGTAACTTAGAGGCTTCTTTTTCTTTGCTTCCAATTCTCATCAAGACAGACTCAAGAAAGTGTATGAGATTTTATCATGATTGACCCAGTACCCGCTATTATTTTGCTTGCATCTCTTTGTTGTTGTTGTTGTTGATAAAACTGGGCTGTGAAGGGAGAGATGATGCTCTAAAGTAATCAATTTATTTTTGTGTTATAACATACCTGTGGAACATTGAACAGTACTCAGAAGAAACAGTGCTCGCAACTGACACTACCAAACATTTCTTCTGGGCAAGGCATGACTGTATATATTTTTAATTAATTGATATGTGTCATCACAGATCTGTGAGATAGGTATCACCATTTCACAGATAAATAGAGATATAAAGAACTGAAGTAACTTCATTAAGTCTAGAGAGGTCATAAATGAATAATAGAACCATTGAACTATCTTGTCATGTATAAGGAAATAAGTATTTTTAAAATATTTTCATTAATATTCCAAATTTTCTATCCATTCTTTCATTAATTGATCATTCTACAAAATTTTATGTGATAAAAGACACACATTTAAACATCAAAGTCATCTACTTATAGGTGGACCTATTCACTCCACAAGCCCAGCATAACTTTTGTTTCATGTTCATGCAATACCATATGCCTTCTTGATGGCTTAGGAAACTAAGATGTAAGGTCGTGATGACAATTCCTTCTTTCACAGTTGTTGCTGAAAAGTTAGACAAGTAGTTTTTTTTGACAAATTAGAAATTCTGAAAAGCGTGTTGTGGGCTTCGAGTGAAGAACTTCATGGTGAATAGCATTGATAATGAGTCAATCCATATGGAATATGTTTGTTAACTTTCCATTTTCTCAAATTCCTGAAATAAGACAAGTCATAAGGAGAACAGGGATCCTTTGGCTCATGGCTTTGGAAGTTTCCATCCATAGGCAGTTGGTTGGTTGATCATTGCTTTTGGGCCTCTGACAAGGTAGGACATTATGGCAGGCAGCAAGTAGTGGACCAAAAAAGCCATTTGCCTCACAACTGGAATGTTAAAGGGAGAAAGAGGAAGGGGCCAGAGTCTCACAATTCTCTTCAAGTGTGTGCCCCCAATGACCAGACCTCCAATTAGGCTCCACTTCTACAAGTTTCCACCACCTCTCATGGGAACTGTATTTTAACACATGGGCTTTGG